TTCATACATTTTGTTCTGATACTGATCGACTCATTTTAGCCCAGTTCTGCCATGTATACGAGGGGCGACGACATTACGACCTCGTTGATGATAGCATTGGTGCCTGTGAACAGTGCTACGGCGCTGGATCGCTTCTTGCAGAGAGGACCACCCCGAGTGCAAGTTTTCTGTTGTCGACAAAATGGAGGAAACTCCACGAAGGCTGCTTGATCTGAGTGACCCCCTGCAGTCTCCTGAAAACAGATGGTCGAAGCTGCCCAGAAGAGTGCGAGTGATAGAATCAAAGGACGAAATGTTGGCCTACGTTGCTATCAGCTATCGATGGCCTCATGCTTCCAAATACTGGCCACGCTTGACGTTCAAAAACTACACGGCACTTACTACAGCAGGTCTCCAAACAGACGTTCTACCGAGACTCATTCGAGACGCCTTCACCATCGCGTTGCTTGCCGGGATCAGATATGTCTGGATTGACTGCTTGGTAGCTCTACCTCCATGCCCTTTCACACATGGTATGCATAGCTAACATTGAGCAGTGCATACACCAAGGGAACGATGATGAATGGGTCATTGAATCCGCAAAAATGGCCTCGATTTACGGCCAAGCAGCTTTTACAGTTGAGTTCGTCGACCAAACCAGTCTCGTTGACGCCGCTGAAGCGTCCCGCGGTATGTTTCTCAAGACCGAGCACGGGGATCATGATATCAACGAGGACTTCAGCCCACCATACAACCCTCTCAGCCCCGAGTCTGTTTACCAGTGGCTGGAAACCAGCGGTAACTTTCCAAGCCGTCCCAATGGAGAACTTGATACCAGAGGCTGGGCGTTCCAGGAGAGGCTTCTTTCTCGGCGCATTGTCAGCATAACAAAGAAGGAATATTTTGGGACTGTCTTCGGCTGAGCGCTTGTGACTGGCGTCCGCTAGGGTTTCTGGGCGACTTTTCACCCAGGTTTCGAGATAGCGACGAGCGAAAGATCAAGGGGGCCTTGTTGAATGACAGGGCCCACGCTCAAGAAGAACATGGTCTCTCGGCCACAGTTCGTAAGAAATACTACCTTTTATGGAGGCGACTTTTACAGAGCTACACCGGCCGAGCTTTCACCAACCCTCCAGATCGCCCGATGGCAATTCAAGGAGTCCTTCATCGGTTACGATTTCTTCTTCAAGAGGAGGACCATCACTTTGGGGTATGGGAAGGGGACGTCTTGAGATCTCTGATCTGGTTTGTCGAGACAGAGGGCGAAAACGCGCGCGTCCTGCTTTCCGAACCATTTGTGAAGGTTCCGTCATGGTTGTGGGCGTCGGTGGACGCTCCGATCCAGTACAGACTGTGGCACCCCTTTTGGCGGTATCGAGATCGCGATATCGAGGTCGTGGCACCACCGCACACGGTCGTCGAGAATATTTCGGCCAAGGCATCTTCACCGGGGCAATTGTCAGGCTGCTCTGGTGAGGTTATTCTTAGGGGTCCTTTGGCCACATTGGAAACGACAAAAGTCAGGAGGTTACCTGGGTGTAAGCTCATGTTTGACCCCAGGCCCGAGGCTTGGTATTCAAGTCAGGTCTCGCCTGACTTCATTCGAGATACCAGCAGGTTGAAAAGGTATTATGAGGTCGACTGTTTGCAGGATCTGGTGATTATGAAGATCCTGGAGGGCGGCTACTCGGAGGATCAAATGGCACAGTACTGCCTCATTCTACAGCCATGTCTTCCTCCGAAGCCCATTCCCCGACAAAAGCGCGTCAAGCCACACCTTGGATCGCTTCCCTCGTCACCCAGCTATTATCGAAGACTTGGACTCTTGGTGGTGGACAAAACACTGGACAACTTTTGTGCCGACGATCGTGATATCTGCAAAGACGATGGATGTCTGTTGGAGAAGAAGCAAAAGAGAGATGGCCGGCTCGTCTCTCGGAGATGTTTGGGACGGATAACAACCATCGCTATTATGTAGCCACCTCCTTACCTAGAGAGCTGTTCCGTCTGGATAAGCACCCCTGGCTAAACCGTCGCAGTCGAGTTCTCGGTTGTAATCCCGCCAACCTTGTCCTCCTCTTCCAGCATCCTCCGCGCCCTGTAAAACGCCGTGACTGTATAAACCACACAGCCCCTAGGATTCTCATGCTCCATCGACCACGCCCCATTGATAACCCCATCAGAGTAATCCCCAATCGTGTTAGAGAACTTGGTATACATGCCCGCTCAGAAACTGGGTTCGACATTCGAATCATTGACCTTCTTATCACCCGCGGTATAATCATCACCACAATCCGGCCGGTTTTGTTCAGGGACTGGATTCAACCAGGGAGGACTGGCTGGATCGTAGGTGTTGTTGGTGAAGGTCTCATAGGCGAGGTAACATCCGGACATGCTCCCTCCTTGAGTGAGCTCTTCACCAAAGGCGGTACAGTTGAGATTGGCATAGCTGAAGGCTTCTTTGCACTCGGCTAGCGAGAGAGTGTAGTTGGCAAACAACGAGTCCGAGGAGCAGTTGTGTGATGCTGGGGGGGTGGCCCAGGTGCTCACGCTCAACCAAGTTGGGATTCGTCGTTCCGGGTAATCGTCTTGAGGTGACGGGAGAAGAAGTAGTTGACTCTGACGACCACCCTTCACGATGTCCGTGTTGAAGCGGGTTCTGAAGCCATGCTCCATCCGGTAGAAAACAAAGCACTGCTCCTACACTGCTCTTGTTGAGGAGCGGTCAGCTCCACTGTAGACAGAGCTGCTTGAGCCCACAGCCGTCAAACAGACGGCCAATGGGAATATATCTGGGTATTTTAACAAGGAAATCTGGACTCTCATCATGTCGATAATCCAGATTCTTGGTCAGGTCTCAAGGAGATGGCTCACCTCATCCTGTTGGTGCTGCTTGTCAGCACCTACGCCTACGCTGCCCCCCAGCCGGCGGCTACAGATACTGGGTCAACGAAACCCTACCTCCAGCGTGACCCAAACTTTCATGGCCTACCCGCGCGAGGTCCTCTACCAAGCCCGCAGCGCCGCCGCTCGCCTCAACGATCAGCTCGACTTCGACTTCCACAACGTCTTCCACGCCATCTTCAAGGCCAGCGTCTGCACCCAAAACACCTACCGCTACTCCCCCGAGTACGACCACGCCTGGGGTCCCACCGCAGGCGTCCCTTGGCAAATAGTATCAGACACCATGTTCGGCCTGGGCAACAACTGGCGCTCCACAGACAACCGCATCGACGCCCACCTCCGCATCTACTGCGACGACGGCGCCAGATACGAACACTCGGCCAACGGCCAGCTCTGGGACACCGTCGAGCACTTCTACCGCCCCGCCGGCGACGGCGGAGTCCACGCCTGCCAGGAGCAAACCTTCCACCGTTGCTACGTGACCCACCTTCATCAACTGGGTGATACCGGAGGGCGAGTCCGACGTGCCATTCTACTCCGTCATGGACATCCGTCAAAACCTGCGGAACGTCCTCGGCCAGCTGGACCGGTCCCAACTCCGAGGACTATCGATCGGGCTCAGATGGCGTATGGGGGGGAAAGAGAGAGAGAGAGAGAGAGGGAGAGGGAGAGGGAGAAAAATGACATGCACAACCTGCCGGTTTTCTCCCTCGGGCTGGAGCAGATGCCCGTCCAGACGCTGTTCCACGAGTGGATGCACGCCATGCCGTTTCTCGGGCAGGATTATCCAGACGCCCGAGGTATGAGCGGGAGTTGGGACCATGTGATCACTCTGTTCACAGAGCAAGCGTTGCATGCTCCAGAGGCCTACAGTGAGTTCTTTTACCCTTCCTACACAAGGCTGTTTTTGATGGCAGCGCTAACAAAAGAAAGCATACCTCGGCCTCTGGGCTGCCCTTGCTGACCTGAGCCCAAGCGGTTACCTGGACGCCAATGGCAGAGGAGGTGGATACACAATCGACCGCTTCTGGGGCATACGGCCTGAGGAAACCAAATGGGACCAGAATTTCCTTGAGGACAACACGGGTGAAACCGACAATCCGGCTTTTGGAGGCTGGATTACGGCGTAAAGAGACTTGACAGAGCAATAGAAATACTAGATGATAACCGGAGGGGGGAAATAAAAAGACACAGCTCACAGCAATTGTATTATAGACGATTTGATCTGACCCGGTGAGTGAGTAGGGCTACCTCATGAGGTGCATTCCAAATACTCAAACAAATTCCATGTATCGCCGAAAAGAAATGTCCGCCCTCCTAACCTTGAGTTCCCTTTTTTATGCCGCCTCCCCCGTGTTAAGCATATTTCCAAACGCCCCCTCTGTTCACCGCTCTGCACCCAGGAAGGAAAAAAACCAAGGTCTCAACAACCCAATCCCGTAAGTCGTAACACAAAGGCGGTGGTGGCAAGTACAGTGTGTTGCAAAAGAAAATGAAGGGCCCCCAACCATTCATGGAGCCTTACTCCATGGTTACGACCAATGAAGCTACTGCATCAGCCCCGGATCAAACAACGCCACCTCTTGGTGAGGAAAGACGGGTTGAAATGGATTTGGCGGGCCGTTATCCATGTGATGGTGATGATGCAAGGCATGCTGTAGCTGGATGGGAAGCACATGATTGGGAGGCAAAACTGCCGCCTCGTGTGCAGGCAGCAGCTGAGGATAATAAACTGGTTGGTTAATAGGCGGCCAGATGAGGGCCGGTGGAGGCGCATGGCATGCACTCCCAGCAGGACGGTTCCTCAACTTCCTCGGGGTCGGTGATTGCCTCGCCAGCGCCGTGGTAACGTCCATTGACTTTCTTGTCCGGATTCTCTTGGACCTCCGCCGGCCGGGGGTAACATCGGACTGGACAAGGTTGATCTCGCTCGGCTCGGTATCAGAAGCATGGGCGGCATCGACGAACGGGGTTAAGGACGACGATGGGCCCTGTTCAGCACCAGCATGATTAGGAACACGCAAGCCCGGCTGCTCATCATGGGCCCGGCCAGTGCCTCCACCGTTGTATCCAAAAGTTTTTCTCTGTCTGGTGGTTCTTTTGCTCATGCCACTTACCTAGAGTGGCTTGGCATCACCAAGATGTAGATTCAGTGTAAAACGAGGCAGCTTGCGATCGCGCTCAAACATGAACCCGCAATTGTTGCAAAGAGACTGCGCCATCAGAGTGTCAGCATCAAAGCATCCAAAAACATGAAAGACGAGACAGGGTGTGAAAGACATACCCTTGGCCCATAAGGACCATCCCGGACAGCCCAAACACTTGTCCCCCAAACCTTGCAGTGGGAGCACCGCCAAGTGTTCCTCTCATGCTCAGCAAGTGTTCCGCCACCCCCGTAACCTCCAGCACCGCTCGTGGCATCTGGAGTACCCCTATATCCACCGGGAGTGCCCGCTCGGCCGACCGGCGACAGACTCCTGAAGCGCTTCTTCTTTTTGCTCCTTTCACCTCTCCCCATCCTCTCCTCCGCATCTTGCTCAATAAGTCCGGTGAAGCCGAAGCCAACGGGCACGCCACCGGCGCCCAGCCCAGTATTACTGCTGAAGCGCGCGGTCTCTCTCCTCAGCCGACGAATCTGGCGCTCCCGGTCACCTTCCCGTTTCTCAATCTCCTCCTTGCTGAGATACTCCAAACGAGGGCCCCAGGATTCGGCAAGACCGTCAGGATCATAGCGCCAGCCAGCACCTGCGCCGCTGGGGTTGACAGCGTCATTCGGGAACTCAATCACTCCTCCTGGAGGCAGGACACCACCGCTGGCAGTGAGAGCAGACGAGGCGCCAACCCAGCCAGCAACCAAACCACCCGACTCGCAAGCTTCCTTCTTGAGACGTAGGACAGCTTCATAGATGGCATGCGTCATGGCCGGCACCCATTCGCCAGACAAACCCAAGTCACTACAGGTCTGCTTGGCGAAGAGCTCGGCCGTTCCCGGCGGGTGCAGCAGCGACCACTCAAACTTGTCCGTGTACACCTGTGACGACAAGTTGATGTTAAGGCTGACGATGCATCTATAGGTATCGTCGGGGCTCTCGTAGTTATCAGCTGACGTTTCAAGCGGGGTAGCGCTGGCGGTCACGCCTTCTCTTTCAGATATCGCGCCCGGCGTCGCTGGGGCATTCCCCAACTTGGACGGTGTCGCGGGAACGTGGGGGGTATCGGATCGGCTGAGGGAAGAGGTTGCAAGGTTTTGAGGGGCCGGAGTGGCCGACTCGACACGGATCGAAGCTTTTGGGGGCTCGGCGGCGTTGGGTCGTGAACTGTGCGAGTGGAAAAGAGGATGAAGCGCAACACCGGCATACTCTTCAAGCTGTGTCCGAATCTGCTTGCTGATTTCTGAAATGGTCTGGGCACGGTTGGGAAGATCGAGGTCCTGAACCAAGGTGGTGGCAAACTGGTCGGTTGTGATGACTGTCTCGTGCAGATTCCACATGAAGGTGTCGCGTAGACGGTAAGGCACTGTTGGTTCTTGGGGTTTGAAGAAGGGGTGATTTGGGTCGGCATGGCCACCGACGGGCAGGGCAGGCGGGGGTGTATAGCTTGGAATGTCGAGATCGATGCGAATCGGGATCAGCGTCAGCGGGAGACAAGCCTGGGCATAGTTTTGGGCATCTGCCCGGCGAGTCCTGTTCATCCAGTCGCGCCAGATGCCCTGCATCTCAACTGGGGCGACAGCTTCCTTGCCGACCTTTTCGCTGGGGTCTACTTTGGAGGCGCTGTCGTCGCGACGGAGGCTGCGCAAACCGGTAGGTCGGCGACGGTTGTCGTCGTCATCATCGTCGTAATCATCGTACCCATCCTCGGCATAGTTGATTATAGTCGTTCCTCGCTTGGTGGTTCGCGACAGAGGGTTCGCCGGCACGGCGCTGGGAATCACAGGCTGGATCAGAGCATTCTGGTAGGTGCGCAAGCGAGGGGCCAAAGACGAGAGTATCGCCTGTTGCGACTCGGACCGCAAAGCCATTGTGATGGTGAGAGGGCGAGATTGATTGTGCTCTTGTGATTGGCTCTATCTCATGGCAATGAAAAAACAAACACGCAGAGTGTCGTGTCGAGTCGAGTCGAGGCGAGGCTGCCCGTTGGGGGGAGGGGAGAAGTCGGTCGACTCAAGATGGCCGGAATTCAAGGGCACAAAAGATGGGAAAGACGGACGCAATGCTCAGTGCAATCAATCAACTGGCGGCTGTTGACTGGCCGTGCATGTGTGTATCAGAGAGACAATAGAAATCTCTCTGGAGCAAACGGCAACAATGGCTCCCAACGAGCGAGGGTTGTCGTTGAATGGTGGAGGGTTGTTGTTGAGAGCTTGCTCTTGCTTTGGTGTGTGCCTTGCTCTGAGCGCCCGTCAAAAACGCGACGTTGATTTGCGTGCATCGCGCTTCTGCAAAAGCTTAGCTGGTGGCCTGTGCACTCAAGAAGATTAGATAATCAACACATTGGTAGGTGAGTGGGTGGGTCCAGGCCTCAAAACACCAAGCAAATCACGTGCCTCACATCAAACATCATCACGATATCCTTCACCACCAAGGGTAACCTTAACTTCACCACCAGCCCAAAGCCATCTAAACGACACTTTTATATAACCAACCTTGTTTTTCATCAACCCCTCCACGGTCCCAAAGCCTGGGAAATAGGGCTAGCTTAACCTTTGTCGTGGTGAAATCTCTAATTCGTGCCTGCCATCCATGGGCTTCCTTCCCAGCCACACGCTCCTTGGGCTTCCTTCCCAGCCACACGCTCCTTGGGCTTCACGTGGTAGTTGCTCTCTGTCAAGTAAGCTAAGGATAAAAATTAGAGGCAGGGATTTCTCTCCCTTTGTTCTCGTTGCTCCGATATTTTGATTGTAATGATTAGCCTCAAGTTTGAAGACTGATAGCCCCAATCACATGATACCTACTATCAAGTTCACTTTTATCTTCTCACCAGTGAATTTAAACAAATTTCTCTCCAAATCTCCCAACCTTCTTCTTTTCCCTCCAAAGCAGGTCCTCCTCTCGTCGGAACACCATAGTTCTTCCACAAACATCTATCACCTGCTCCTGTGGCTACACTCTAAGCTCCTACGAGTTCCCCTTCTCCACTTTTCTTGGGCCCCCCCGTTGGTCAAACCACGATAGCAGCAAGCCACATCCAGTTTTCACCTCAGCTCACTTATACTTGCTCCTGACCGTCGTCGCTGTGGGCCCCGTGCTCGCCCCTTGCCCACCTCCAGGTATAAAGGAATCTCTCCCTCCATCCTCTCAACGATCTTCTCTCCCCCACAACCACCAGTCAAGACAGAACACTTCACTTGCCTTCAGCCTTACCCAAGCAACAACACGCAAGCTACCTCGCCTCACTCTTATCCACCTTCTATTCATTCATTCATCCATCCATCTACCTTTTACCCATCTTTGGAATCTCTTCCATCACACATATCGACGTCTCATTAGTCGATATCATCACGTTGACGTCCTATCTTAAGGTAGATCGACAACAAGCAAAATGTCTTCGGCCAAGGATTTCCTCGAGGCCGCCATCAGGGACTCTCAGGCGATCTTGCCCGTCGAGAACGCCGACGCTGTCACCGTCGCGACACCTGCGCCTTGTCCTCATGAGCGCAAGCTCGCCACCATTCGCCGCATCTCCTCCCTCGAGAGGCTTACCAAGAGATTCGGCTTGGCCACAGTTGACGGCTGGAAAGTCTTGATCCTCAACGAGGAGAACTTTTTGGTCGGCGAACTCGTGGTGTTCTGCGAGGTGGACTCATTCACACCCCATCGCAACCCCTACTCGAAGCTCTTCGCTCCTTGGGGCACACTTCAGACCATGTATGGTGAGAAGGGCTGGCGTATTGCCACCCAGCAGCTCGTGTTTCGCAGCGGATCGGAAAAGGTCAAGGTCACTTCTCAGGGCCGAATTTTCAAGCTGAGTGATATCGGGACCATCGTCAGAGAATTCCGCGCTCTGAAACTCAAGGCTGCCTCGACCGATCACACCAGCTTCGAGGACTACCTTCGCGGCGTTGACTTCTCTGAGAAGCTCGGCATCAAGAAGTGGGAGCCCGAGTCTTCTTCCTCGGCCAAGGTCACGGCTTCCGCCAATGTCACCACTTCGACTTCTGTCCACCGTCCTTCGGCTCCCGTCGCCACTTCGGCTTCCCTCAAGGCTTCGGCTGCCACCATCGCTGCGGCTCCCGTCGCCGCTTCGATGGCGCCTGTCCAGGCGGCAGCCACTATGCTGAACCCCAAGCCGCCTGCGTTCATGCTCAGCACCAAAATGGAGAGGCATCAGAACTGCCCCAACCTTTTCAATAAGCCCAAGTATCGCCGCCTCGTGTACCAGCAGACGGTGAAGCTCGACGGTTCCGCCATGAGCATTTACTTCGTCAACAAGGACTCTCACCTTTACCACAGCTTGCCCTTGCTGAACTCCCGCGTCGCTCCCTTCTACCGCAAGACCTGCGTCTTCGAGAACGGTCGCGCCGGTATTTGCAGCACCAACAAAGACATCATCTACAGCACCGAGTCCTTCGAGGCTTTCGTCAACACCGCCGTTGGTCTCGGCCTTCCGAAGCTTCTCGCGAAGCTGGATCTCAACATCGCCTTCCAGGGTGAACTTGTCGGCCACAACATCTGCGGCAATCCCTACGGCTACGCCACTCCTAACGACAAGGCCAATGGCAAGATCGGCGACTGTGGCAACGGCTTTGACTTCTTCCTCCACTCCATCGTCGACCTTCACACTGGCAAGAAGTGGAACCCCAAGGCCGTCTGCGATTTTGCTGTCCAACACCAGATTCGCCACGTTCCTCTCGAGGGCTACGTGCGAATTCGCGAGATCGCCAACAGCCACGACGAGCTCCAGGCCATGGCTGAAGCCGCGCCCGGCGAGGGCTTCGTTTTCAAGTGCTTCGAGGGCCAACGCTCATTCAAGGTCCTGAGCACCAAGTGGATTCTCGAGAAAGGCGATGAGGCCCTCGCTCGTGGCGAGCGTCTGCGAGACCGCACTGCCCCCGTGGAGCAACCCCATTCCATTTTGCGCATCGGCGGCACCCAGTCTGGGGAGGTTAGACTCCCCGCCCCAGTGACCTCTGCTGCTGTCAAGGCCAAGCAGATCGCTGTTGCCAACGCCGTCGCTCCGCTTCCCGCGACCTCTGCTCACGTTCTGAAGCCTGAGGAGAAGAAGCCTGTTTCTGAGCCTATCCCCCACGCGGCCCCAAAGGCCTCTGACGCCACGAAGCCGGTCATCGTCGCTCCAACCGTCCAGGCTCGGGCCGTCAGGGCTCAAGCCATTCAGGCTCCAGCTGTCAAGGCTCCAGCCGTCACGGCTCCGGCCATCAACGTTACCGTTCCCGCCGAAGACGCCGCCAAGCGGGCAAGGAACGACGAGCTCTGGGCCGAGCTCACTCCCGGCATGCAGCTATTCGAGGCCTGGGCCTCTGGCAACGACTACCAGAACATCATCGACTACGTCAACGCCTGGAAGGCAAAGCACGTGGCCGACCAGGCTTTCAACGAGATCTGCCAGAAGAAGAAGGCCGCCCTGGCTAAGATCGCCGACGAGCAAAAGCAGCGCGCCATGCTGCGCAAGTTCGCGAAGAAGCAGCAAGAGAAGGCTCCAGCCAACGAGGCCTGGCACCAGACTTTGGCCGTCAGCAACGACATCCCGACGCCCGAGCCTTCTTTCAATCTCGACTGTGCCGCTGAGGAGTCTGACAGCGAGGTTTCCGGCGTTGATGAGGACCCCGGGACGGATGTCGCTGCCCCCGAGTCGACCACCACCGTCATGGCTCCCAGCGTGAGCATCACCATGTCGCCCAAGCGCGCCCCAGTCAAGAAGACGGTCACTGTCTCCAAGGAGACCCTCAGCTGGCTCGGCTTCTAAGCCACAGGTGCATTTCGCGACGATTCCTTGGCATGGCCGCGACATCATTGCACATAGCGACATCATTCGACATAGCATCCTGGCTTTACCGATTCTCGACACGTTCATATGCGCAGACCATCTTGGCCTTGGCCTCAACATTGCTCGTCGAGGTTTCTCTTTGTTTTCGCGGCGTTGGAGATTGATTTGGGCGACATTTGGGGTTGGTTTGGGCAGCGTGGCATTGTTTTATGGTTTTTAGCGGTGGAATTTGGGACATGGCGGAAAATAGGGTTCAGGGAAGCAAAAAATGGAGTTCAGGACAGGAAGCAAAAATGGAGTTTTTGCCTTTCAGGAAGAGGGAAGAAATTGGGCGTGCGGGGGGAAAAGGCGGTATTTAAGGAATCGGAAGGCACCGGTGTCTTTCTCATGGTTATTCAACATGGGCTCGTCCCGGATAACACAAGTTCGGCGGGTTTTTTATCACTCTGATAGTGATTAGGGCAAATAGAGTCTTGATTTCGGGCAAAACTGCATGCATTCTGAATGTAAAATGTGATAAGACTGTACGAGAGATCTGAAGCGTAATGAGAAACATGATGTTTGTGACGTGCCCAAAGGTTTCGATGATGTTGTTAGGAACGTACACGTCTATCTGTGATTAGGTACAGATGAGCAAGATGTTGAGCTATAATGCACAGGTAGTTTACGGGTTGGGTTTCAGTGTCCAGTCGTTCTAGTATATAGGTAGACACGAGGTCAGGGGTTGAGATTCTGGCAGTTGGGGCTGCAATAGAAGCATACTTGTAGACAGTCGTCATCAGCTTCTCACAGCCAGCAACTGTCGTCTCTTCCACTTGCTGAAAGTGCCTCATCAAAGAGATATTCCCGACCTGTCTTCACCAGGCCCACCCGTGTTATCTCCCCCCTAGCTATATCCAGCCAGCCTCGTGACGGTTTTCAGCAAGCGAGTGTGAGTCCACTTACGACTCTAGGCTTAGTGATCGCCGTTGCCGAGACGCTAGTCAAAATTTTAACAGATCGAGTAATATGCGGTGAGTCTAGAGCCAGAGCCTTATTGTCTCCCAACCCACCGTCTTCCCTGCCGGGCAGCTTCTGAGGACGTGAGACAAAGGAAACGTGCAATGCTACAGCCCACCGGTACTCCACACGGCACATATTGGCGACACACGTTTTCAAAGCCTTGTCCAGCTTTCTTGTTCTCGAGCTCGCTTATAGCTCGAAATTGCCTATCCAAGCCCATCAGCATCAGCATCAGCATCAGCAAGCAGCTTGAGGCCTGCCTTCTTTAACATCTTCAAGAACTTAAACCGACAAGATGACTGTCAACGACTCCCAGTTTGAATCTGCCCCTAGCAGCAATCCTCGGGATGGCCATTCCTTCACCACCACCGCCCCTGCTCATCAAAAGCTTCACCTCAGTCCCCCGAGCGAGGACATGGTTCGCCGTGTGCCCTCCCGCAATGAGATGAACATCCACCACATCACCGAAGATCTCTCCTCCGCCCCCTCCACCACCTTCACATACTTCACCCCTGACACGGATGAATGCTACATCGGCAGTCTCCCCCTCCCGTCCTCGTCACTCACACCGTCCCTAATTCTCGAGTCATCCTCCCATCTTGAGCGGATCCCCGACGGTCTCATCTATCCCCTCATGCCAGGGAAGCCTCTCATGGCGCTGATTATCGCGCCTGACTCACCCCCGGAGGACTCAGAGACAGGAGCGTACTTCATCCGGCGGCCCAATCTTTTGAATTTTGACACCAAAGACAAGGACAGGGCAGAGCAGCAGCAGGCCATGCTCCTCAGGGAGGCTGTTATTCTCCAGCAGTTGGCGCAGCATGGCCATCCAAACATGATTCGCTATCACGGCACAAGAACCAGGAGAGGGAGAATCACGGGATTGGTGTTTGACAAGCATCCTTACACCCTGTTGGAGTACCTGGCCGAGGTGAAGGAGAAGGGCAAAGGAAACGAGATCGAGGTTGAGTCGTTCGTGATGGGGTTGGAGAGTGTGGTGAGCAGGCTGCACCAGCTGGGTCTGGCGCACAACAGTATTCGGGCTGAGAACATTGTTGTGGGGAGAGGCGAGGGTGGCGAGGGGGTGAGGGCGGTGCTGGTGGAATTTAGCAAGTGCTTGCCTTTTGGCAAGAAGTTCAGGACATCGTATGACGGGGAGCTCAAGGTTTCGTCAAAGGAGAACGATCGCCAGGCAGTCAAGGACTTCAGGTCATGGCTGGAAGGGGTGGTTGACCCCACGCTGATCACCCCTACACAGGACGACCAGCCTGCCAGTAGTTGACCCAGACACTTTTGTATCGTGTTAATGACAATCATGTACATGACGTTGCTCAATCCCGCCCATGTTCCTTCCCATGTCCCTCTCCACGCCGCTCCTCCTTCTTCAACAGCGCCAACGCCTCCACAAGCACACTCCCATCCACCATCTTGGCCACATGCTCCCTACTGCTCGCGGTCCTGTTATCCACCCTGGCAATGTACTTCTCCTCCTCCCCCAGCACATCCACCAGATCCTCCGGGATCCCCCCACTCCAATCATGAACCCGCCAAACCTTCTCCAACAACGGCACGCTCACATTCACCGCGGCCGAGACCCTCGCATAGACCTTCTCCGGCTCCTCCTCAAACACCCTCTGCGCCTTGATCAGATTCTTCAAGAACACCACAATCTCTTTCCTTTTCTTCTTGTCCGCCAGCTTCTCTTTGGTAGAGTGTAAGTTGTAAATCTCGCGGTACACCTTTCTGTCCTGGAAGACCACCGTCTGCCCCGCGGGGAGCGCGTCGATGCCCAATTGGAGGGTGGGTTCCCAGATGCCAAACGCGTCAACCTCTCCTCTTGCCAGCATGTCAGGGAAGGTCCTGTTTCCGCAGGGCGCCTCGTGGCAGATATTGCCGGCGATGGTTTGGTAATCCCCGTATTCGAGACCGACGGTTTTGAGGAGCTGCTCGACAAAGTAACCCGCCGAGGTGCCGTTGATAGTGCCAACTCGCTTCCCCTTGAGATCGGAAAGAGAGGAAATACCGGCTGCGCGGTTGGCTACCAGGCGGTAGGGGACCTCGGCAATGTTCCAGATGATCCGGAGGGAGGTGTTATTTGCGTAATTGCGGAGGGCTTGGGTTTCGGCGTTGGCGCCGAGGTCGATAGAGCTGTTGCGGACGAGGGGCGCGACTCCGCCGTTGACGAAAATTGCGGAGGAGTTGTAGTAATCTTCGGAGGTGGTAAGGAGAGGGACGTATTCGATGACGTTGAGAGCGGCCGAGATGGTGAGAACAGCTGCTGCAGGAACTGTGAGCAGGCCCAAAAGGGGCAGAAGAAAGGAAAGGCGTGCCATCATGACGGGGAGGCCGGGAATGGCAGACAGATGTGAGGAAACGGTCTCCGAGATGAGGTCAGGCGGGTGGTTATGTACTGCTCGGGCCGCTCGCTGTCTTCCACGGACGAGCAACGGACGACAGATATTACCAGCATCAAGGACCGCCTCGGCTTCCGGTATAGCTTCCTCTTACAGCCAGTAGCATCTCACCACCCACAACGTCCCGAGTGAAGCCACCAATAGGAAACATGCCGAATGCCTGCCTCCTCGTTCCAACCCTTCCAGAACCCTGAGCCGTCTCTTGTGTTTTTCCCAGGGTCGTGTGCGGAGTCGGAATCGGAGTCTTGACCAAACCGCATGCTCAAAATATCATGACTGAAGACTATAAGCCATAAGCTGCATACAGCGGTTCGAAGTCTAGGCTAATTGATCCACAGTCTTTTGCCGTTTTGGGTGGCAGGGTCAGAGAGGGGTGGACAGTCAGGGGAAAGGGGGTAAAAAGGGTACAGCCGTCCCCGCATTTCGGCTCTTGCCGACAAGTCATCCAACTCGGTAATATGTGTAGGTATAATGTCGACGGGGATGCCGGTATGGTATCGGGCCTGCACGCTGGTTTGCTATATGACTCTGTGACAAGGCCGTTTGTGTGAATCGGGTTGAGCTGTGGCGATGATGTTCTGGTGACGAAATTGGATGGCATCTATTCGGATTGCTTGTCTCTTGAAGTCTTGCGCTCTCTGTGAGGTAGGCCGGGCTTCTTGGGAAAAGTGTGTTCCAGTGGCCAGCCTGTCGAGTGAAGCTTTTGTCTGGAGAGGAGCCGAGAATCAACATGTCCAGCTTACAGCTTTTTGGTGTGCTTTGCGGCATGTCTCTTTCATGACCTCCTCAGGGGTTCGATCAGGGGGATTACAGGTACCTACTTGAGGTATTTGATAAGTTGGTACCTACCGATCGAATCGCGTTGCTTGTGCTATCTAATTAGCCACTCAATGTCTACAAAATATTGAATAGGGCCATCTCATTATGAAACTGATTTTGTAATTGGGAAAAGCCCGGCGCAAAGGAGAGAAAAGAGAAAAAAGAGAAAAAAGAGAAAAAAGAGAAAAAAGAGAAAAAAGAGAAAAAAGAGAAAAAAGAGAAAAAAGAGAAAAAAGAGAAAAAAGAGAAAAAAGAGAAAAAAGAGAAAAAGAGGAAAAAAGTGACAGAGAACTTCTCTTCACTTAAAAGATTTGGATGCCCAATAACAGGATTGAACTGTTGACCTTCGCATTACTATGTACTGCTGCCAGTATTAGTACGACGCTCTAACCAGCTGAGCTAATCGGGCTTTGTTGGATGTGTTGCTGCGAAGGAGGATAGCTTAAAGAAGAGATCAGAGATAATGGAAAAGGGAAAAAGGCAAAAGTAGAGACTCGGATACCGGGAGTCGAACCCGGGGCTGTTGAGAGAACAGACACTTCTGAGAAGTGAGAGTCAACGATGTTACCGCTACACCATACCCGATAGGATGGCGTCCGACAAGGATTGTTGTTGAGGCCTGAAGAAAAAGAACTCATGTTGGGACAATTCTTTGTCTGTGTGGTGGGGTTGGCTGGGAATGTTTGGAGGGGTGGAGGGTGGAAGGGTTACCCTGTCAACGGCATGTGACGTCATTGGGAGTGGGGGTGCCTCCAGCGCAGCGTGCTTCGAAGGGATCACTTTCACATGAATTATTGAATACGCGTACGGGTTCCAGGACACGAGAATGAAATCGGACGGAGTTATGGAAGAGCCCTGTCGAAAATGACGCGCGAAATAAGTCCACCTCCGCTGAAACGAAGGAGGCTGGTTCACCAGAGTTCCCCGGAGACCAAGTCGCATTCTTTTCGAGTCTTTTCCTGGAACATCAACGGCGTCGATGCTTTTCTCCCCCCCACCAACTCAAAGATCACTACCTTCTTCAAGCCTACCAACTCTCCCAGTGGTCGAGCCAGTCCACCCAAAACAGACCATGAGACGACAAGCAACTCACTTCGCGCCTTCTTGTCTCGTCACAACTGGCCAGAGGTCTTATTTTTGCAGGAACTCAAGATCAAACAGGGTGACTGCAAGACTGTGGCCGCTCTTCTTACAGCCATCAATAGCCCATTAAGTAAAAGCGATGTCCTATCCCAGGAACGAACTTATACGCTTGACACAGTCCTACCTCGAGACAAGTACAACGTTAGAGGATTCCAGGGAAAGCTTTATGGAGTCGGCACCATCATAAGAAAGGACTTTGCCAGGGGCCACGTTTCCCTCATTCGCGAAGCCGACTGGGACCTTGAAGGCCGGGTGAGCATTGTCGAGCTCAAGAAAGGATTAGGTCAAGACAGACCACTTGCGCTCCTCAACATTTACGCAGTCAACGGGACTTCTAGCCCCTATCGTTCACCTGACACGGGCAAGGCTGTTGGAACAAGACACGACCACAAGATTGTCTTTCACAGCCGCTTGCGCGATGAGTGTCTTGAACTTGAGGCTCAAGGCTACAACGTGGTGGTTGCTGGGGATCTAAACGTTGCGCGCGGTGTTCTAGATGGTCATCCAAATCTGAGAACATACCCAAGCCAGCATTGCCTCAACAGAGCCGACTTCAACGCCAAGTTCTTTGGACAAGAAGATAACAAGAGAGCCCGGGCGCATGTGAGGACCAGCAATGAGAAACAGGCCTGCTTAGATGCAATCGACGTTTTCCGCGCCCTTCACAGGACTGAGAGGAGGTATACTTATCACCCTCGCACAGCACACTGGGGCAGCAGTAGCGACAGGGTGGATCTCATCCTGGCTTCCAAAAGGCTCTGGGAAGAAGGCCTCGTTCTCAGCACCGGGATTCTGGACTCTCCTCAAGAAAGAGGACCCAGTGACCATGTCCCCTTATGGGTAGAGGTGAAAGGCTCTGGGTAGAGAATCTTCTTTCGCCATTCCAACACCTCGGACCGAACCATACGGTCGATAATGTCAACATCCAACGCACACGTATCGGTTGACGGAAAATGCCGTACACATGATGCTCCTGGGGACCTAGCGCCATCCCGTTAGTTCTTTGTCCTCAAAGACTATTCCGACACCCTGGCGCCGGTGTTTGCCCCTAAGAAGGGGTGGGTGACCGGAATCCCCGCAGGGAAATCGTGGCGTCTTTGTTCGTACCAGTAAGTTATTTTGCCGTTGCCCATCAAACTCCAGTTCCCGTCCCATTCTCTTGTCAGCTCGCCACCTACCTCTTGACCGCCCACCCCACAACAGGCTATCGCCAGATTATCCATGAATCCGTCATTAATCAAGACCTCAGCATGGAAAGGGAAAAGTCGCAAATAGAAGAGAGGATAAACGCTCTCAGGCAAGCGGCGTATGGCTTGCCTGGGACGTGGAGTGGCCGTAGGCAAGAGGCACAACAGACGGCGAAGATTCGACCGCGCCAATATCGGGCCATTCAGCAGCGCAGAAGAACAACTCGTCGAAGGACAGGCCATGTCCCACTACCACCACCGCAAAGCAGTCATGACCATACGCCGGGCCTGATCATAGATTACCCACCATCGCCCCTATATATATCACCAGCACCGTCACGGTCATCAAGCCCTTCATCAGGTGCTTGCGAGGAGTGCCCCGAGGAACACCCGGAGGACAGTGCCAGCTCACAGCGAGAGGAACCCGAGTGGGGGTTTTGGCAACAAATACGCCGGCAGGCTTATACTGGACGTACCATGTTCGGTCAGACAGCAGGCAGTGGCACCCAGATGGGAGGGCAAGAGTTACAGCGGTCGCCATCACCATCCAGATCCCAATCCCCACCACTAACGATCCGTCATCTCGCTATACGCACCCGTCGCTGCAGGGACAACACCCCTGTTCGCATGATTAGGAGGAGATCCGCTGGATAGCAGTTGGGAGTGAGTTGGACAGTACACAAACCCATGATAGATAGAATGTTTAGCACATGCCACCAAAGTAATAATTACGATATTCCTGCACATATCGCGATGTCCATAAATCGTGCTGAGATGAAGCGTGTGTGTGTTGGGAAACATAAAAGAAGAATCAGCACCAAGGTAAAAAAGGAATCCCCGGTCAAGTACGAAATGAGGAGCCATTAGAGAGTCACGGGCAACTGGAAAAAAGCATGGCAATCCCAGAGGTTTGGAAACGCTTGCATTCGCCTATCTTAACGGTACTTGCCTTAGATCACATCCCGTCCCAACCGTATATCAACCAATAAAGACGCACACCCCTGCTGGAACTTCAGCTAAACCTCGCTCAAAGAAAACTACTTGACCTTACTTTTTCTTCCCCTTTCTTTTCTGGTTCTGGAAAGATAAACACGCCGTCATTCGGCGTCTCCTTGACAGAAGGAAAGCAAGCCACTAGCACTCCACCACCTTCTCCCCAGACGGCATCTCGATGGTGTACTCCAACGTCAACTTGACGCTCCGTCCCGCGTTGAGCACCACCTCCCAGTTCACCTCCCCGCCCTTCTTCAAAAACGACACCGCCTTGCCCCAGTTGGCCTCCTCCTTCCCGTCCTTACCCGGCACTCCGGTCGACATACCCCCTCCGCTGACGCTCATCCTCGGGTGCAGCAGCTCCACCCTCAGCTTCTCATCCTCGCTGACGGGAACCTGATCCAACACCAACACCTCGACCGGCTTGGCCCCTTGAGCAGCCCGCGTGTTGACCAGAGTGATCGCCCGGGTGTAAACGCTGTTATCCCCCTTGGTGAACACCCCGGTGGTGCTCCTCTTGACCTCCGGCTTGGGGTAGGCAACCTTGATGGCAGGGTCAACACCCAGCGGGATCTTGAACGTGTCCCCGGCGCTGCACCTCGGAAGCGTAGACCGGCCCATGAACGTCCCGTCCAGCGTCAGGCCCGTCGGGCCCTTCAGCAGCGTCAGCTTGCTCGTATTGCGGAGCTTGGCCTTGAGGTACGCGGCAGGCTTGTACTTGGCCACGACGGTCCTGGCGAACACGACGTTGGTGAAGGTGATCCTCGCGACGCGCTGCTTGGAGGCGATCGAGCTCGGCCTCAGTGTCTTGGGGTTGGGGAGGTCGTAGGTGGCGGTGAGGCCGGTTTCCTCAAAGGAGGAGTCCTGGAAGGAGACCTCGGGGGTGGGCTCGAGGACGGTTTGGGCGTCGTGGTCTTCGTATTCCATCGACTCTGACACTGCACCGTCGGGGGGATTTCCGCTCCTGCGGCGTTTGCTCATTGCCGACATGTTTGCGGAGCGCAGATTTAGCCCTTTCGCCAGGCCCGGTCCCCCCATACTACACGCCAACGGCGCTGGGTTGCTCGGTGGTGGTGGAGGTGGTGAGGCTTCACCAAGCAGAGCAAAAGCAACCCCCTCCCCCCCACCCTGCGTGTAAAATTGACGGTGTGGCTGTGGTTTGCTGACGCCAAACAGCTCAGCGCGCGGCTTTTGCTGCTGGGAATTATTTTGCGCCGCGTTCCATATCTCTTTCTGTGTCCTCTCCTCACGACTGTAAATGGCTTGGTCGCTGGTAAAATGGGCAGTGCGGCCACCTAGCTTGATCCGCCAAGGCAAAAGCCTTGGGGACTCGTCGTGGAGGCCAGAGAAACTAGCCTGCGATGTGCTCAGGATCACCTTGGCGTTGGTCCAAGTCTCCGAGGTCATGTTTGTCAGCTGGGCATCGAAACAGAGAATGGCCGAGTTGGTGGTGGTGGACAGGGCCAAATCATAACTGGGCGACCAGAAAGCAGACGTGGTGACGTAGCTGAGAGACAGATCGCAGTACGTGATGGTATCTTCCATGGGCTTTTCAGGGGCCAGTTTGACATCAGCAGCGCTGGCAACCGAGCTCCGGCGTGACGAGGAAGGGGACAGACTGGTAGCATCAAGCGTGACGCGGATAGTATAGCATGATTTGGGCCAAAACTGTTCCCGCTCTTTGCGAATGCGGGCCTTCTCCTTCTCCTTTTTGGCCCTGCGCCGGAGCTTCTGAGCTCTAACCTTGTCCTTTGCCCTTTGGACCTTTGCTTTGGTCTTGTTGATCTTGGCCTGTTCCTTCGCCTCTAACTTGAGCAGCCGTGCCTCCTCCAGCTGAAGCTTGTCGATCTCTGCGGCAATCTCGCGCTTCCGAATGGTGGCGCTCATCTTATCCTCGAAGGTCTTGTCCCGCTCCTTGCGATACATCTCGAGGCTGTCATCAATGTTGAAGTTGCCCTTCTTCTTCTCCAACGAGCGGCCATAGGATTCGAGAAAACCTTGGCGATTGATAGCACTCTCGATAATCTCATCCTCGCGGTCTCTCTTGTCATACAATGTCTGGAGAGAGTCACGCACTGCCTTGAGCTCGTCGTTGGTCTTCCTTGTGAACTCGTCATCCTCCTCGGACTCGTCCTCTTCCGAGTCCGAGTCGGAATCAGGATAGATCTCCTCAAAGATGTCACGATTGGGGAGCAACTCAATGGTGATATCGGTGATGATGGCTGAACCAATGCCCTCGACTTTGATAGATTCCTCGTCAACAGTCGGAGATAATCCCACCACGGCGATCTCGTTGGCTCCCGGCTGTCAGTTGTTAGTGGGTTGTTCCGTGTGTGCGTTGGCCAAACTGCGGGACTGGACCTTACCTTCAGGGCAACCTCTTTGATGTCTCTAACAACCTGTGCTCTGGTTGGGAAGAGAGTGACAGTCCGCGTGGGAAGATCACGGATGTGGAACTGCTGCTCGTGTAAGGAATCCATTGGCCTTGCAATGTAGGGCTGGTGATAGCGGTATGTGTGTTTTGGTGTTTGGATGAGGGGATTGGTGGTGAACTACACCACTCAGGGGTCGAATCAAGAGGTATACTTATACCTCGAGGTACCTGGTAATTGGAGCCAAGGCATTTGCAGGAAGCAGTGCCACAAAGGAAAGCATCACGAAAGAAGCGCTTGATGACTTGCGCGGCTTCACAAGGCAAGTGATATGCTTGACCCTGCAATTAGACGGCTGCCTCCACCAATTCATGGTGGCGCTGACGTTGCGGCGGGTTGTACAGAAATAATGCCGCCAGACCGAACTAAGGCACGATTAAATTGTCCGGAAAGCCCCCCACCATCTCGGCCCCGGACCGAGCACAGGGGTTTTCTGCTCAAATGTGCACTCGGACTTGAACGGGCAGCTGTTTTGGGAATAACTGGCAAGGAATAGGGAGTCAGCCTTGTGATTTTATTGATTTGAGGACATCTCTTCCCTTCCCTACCACCCATCCCCCATCACCCCCCATCATCATCATCACCATCCATCGTTCGTCGTCGTTCTTCTTCACGCTTGCACAACATGACGGACGGGATGTGGATCTTGGAGAAACCGAAAGGTCTCAGTTGATCGGCACAAACTAAAATGACGCGCGGGGAAGTGGCCCAAGCTCCCTTTTCAGCTGCCTTTGTGCTTTGCGCCCGTGCCACATCGGATGCCACAGCGGAACCCCAAATGCCCCAAAAATCCCGACTCCCAGCCACCTCGAATTTGAGATGCCAAAGAATTGCCCTCACCCTCACCCCATGTGGTTTCATGTCATGTTTTTAGCCGTTGCATCGTCTTGATCTTGCTCTTGATCTTTTCGTGTGAATATCTTGTTTCTCCCAGCTTTGCTTTGTTGATGATAGGTACTTTGACACCGCCAGCATGGAGAGACCCGATAAGCCACTGACTCCGCCCGACGACCGGGACAGGAAGCGTGGTCGAGGCGACAGGGACCGAGGTGACAGAGACCGTGGCGACAGAGACCGGGTTGACAGGGACCGGGTTGACAGAGACCGCGTTGACAGAGACCGTGGTGACAGAGATCGCGGTGATAGAGATCGCGGCGACAGAGACCGTGGCGATGACAAAGCCCGCGGTGATGACAGAGCCCCAACTGGAGAAGCCGCTTCCTACTTTACCGCCGCTGCTCCCATAACCGGACCCAACGGCTCGATTGACCCCTATCCCATCGTCACCGACAGCTACCGTCCTCCGCAAGGTCCAGACTCGTCCTATCCACCACGCCATGACTATGGCCGTCCACCTCCTGGCTCAGGCTACCCTCTCCCTTCCCACAGCACCGGTATCTCGCCCAACTACCCCCCAGTGTCGGGTGCCAACGGCGCCTCTGCATCCTACTATGGGACAGGCGTTGAATCGATGCCCGGTCCAGCGGCTACTTCAGGTGTTGGCATGAGCTACATTCCCCCTGCGCCTCTGTCCGGTCCTCCTCACCATGGGGCACTACCAATCCACTCGACAACACCGCTACCTCTCGCGGTGCAGTCCTCCTACTACAAGCCCACCCTCAAATCTGTGCGCCAGAAAGCTGAGAAGGAAGTTATTGAACTCGCCAACCTACAACGCCAGAGGAAGATGATCGCATCCAAGGGCACCAGAAGAGATTACGATGAGATTTCGGACAAGATCAGAGCCCAGACGGCCACCGTCCTCGGTTATCTCAAGGGCCTGAGACAAGAGATGATTCAAATTGTGGAAGACGCCGAGGACCAGAGGTGGAGAAGGTGGATCGTTGGCACTATATTGTAAGCTCGGTTCTTGCGTTCCGTCTTCAAGACCACACTAACAATATGCACAGTGGCACTTTTATCCCTCTTGTGAAGAAGCTCTTCCGCAGACCTTCAAGCGAGAAAAAGACCAAAACCAGGACGGAGTATGCCTTCATCAAGTCCAAGAGTCTGCTCGGTCGCATTCTTGCCGCAACCAAAGGTCACAGGCCCGGCCTGACGACTGTCACCTTCTTTGTTTTTGCCGTTTTGTACATCTTTTCGAATGAGGTGTCGCTGAGAGTGGCCAAGACGGCCTCCAAGCGGTTGAAGAAGCTGGTGAACAAGGTGGAGAGTACCAGTAATGGCAGGGACGGGGATGTCCTCAAGGATGACGACATCAAGTTGCTGAGCGGGTGGAGGTGGAGAGTGTTGGAGTTTATTGATTGAACATGGGGGTGTGGTCTGTGTGGCTATGAAGAATGTGAAATGAGGAATGACGAGATGACGATGATGAGTAACGATATGATTTTGTCTTTTTGATCTTGTCTGTGTTTACTCAGAAAGCAGGCGAGGTGTTGGAGGATGAATGCATAATATGTTTTATATTGTGGCCTGTTAATGTATTTCACTGTTAAGGTTTTTGCCTCGAAAAGATGGTATTTAGAGTGTCGTTGATGAAATTGTCATTTCATTCTATCGTACGTGCTCAGCATCTGGTGGATGGCTGAAGCCTCATCAAGTCTGGTCCAAATACCGTTAGTCCTTCTGCAAAGACGGCCCAGGTAGAGCTCACATCATTTGCTCAGTCGGACTTCTTTACCCCGCTTGGCTGGTGTTGTATCAGCAGTGGAAGAGTAATTCACAGGTTATGAAGAAGACGAGTTTTCATCATGTGTAAATAACCAAGACCTGCGAAAGCGATTCAGTTTCACACAGGTTCCTGCTTCTCATCCCACTTCTGTCAAAATGTCGCTAACAAACTGGTCGTTCACCCCTTTTCCTCCTCTGCCAGCTACCATTCTGCCCAATGCTGCGTTTTGGAATGCTACAAACCCAGTCAATAATATCACCTACCAAATTCAAGTGTCATGGCCCTTTGAATGGTCGTCTCGCAATGTCGCCAACAAAACTGCCCTGTCCATGTAAACATTGTCCCTGAACCCGCCCCCGCCCCCTTATCTCAGACCCACTACGTTGCTAACAGTTTGGATGAAAGGTATGTCCTTGACGGCAACGCCCTAGCCGGCACCGCCTCGGAAGCTTTCAAACGCCGCAAACCCGTCTCCTTCTCCCAGCCCGACGCGGTCGTCATCTCCGTCGGCTACCCCCTCACCGACTCCGTCTACGACCTTTCCCAACGCGCCACCGACTTTCGCCCTCCCCTTTCCACCCCCCAAACCCCACCCTCCGGCGCCGACCCCTTTCTCGCCTTTCTAACCTCCAGTTTGCGACCCTTTGTCAAATCAACCGTCTTCCCCAACATCAACTTCACCCGCGACGCCCTCTACGGTCACTCCTTCGGCGGCCTCTTCGTTCTCTGGTCATTGATTCAGAACCCCAACAACTTCGACACTTACCTCTCCGCCTCCCCCGCGCTGGATTGGAACAACGCTTCTCTGCTAAACGACATAACAACAAGACTAGGAAACGGAATTGACATTCCTGGCGAGCTCTACTCATCCAACCTCACCTCGTCCAAGCTCTCCAGACCAGCCGTGATGATCACCTACGGGGAAATAGAGCAGTTTCCCCAGCGGAAGAGGACCGAGACGGAGGCGGAATTCCAGTTTCGCAAAAACTTTATCCAGCCGTTCAAGATGACGCGGTATGCGCGGGAAGCGTTTGACAGGATCGAGGGGAGCGGAAGGGTGAGGGATGTGGCGGTCAAGGAGTACAAAGGGCAGGACCACAGCAGTGTTGGGGCGAGCGCGGTGAATGATGGGGTGGATTATTTTATTGATTGGTAGCCTGTACGAGCTTTTCGTGAATGATGAAAGGGTAAAAATGAAAATAGGTTGTAGTTCCATGCAGCATGATCTTTTGAAGAGATGCGTGTAAATATGAAAAAGAGCAAAAAGAACTCGACGTGGGCCTGATTCGAACAGACGCTCCCGAAGGAACAAGATTTCTAGTCTTGCGCATTAGACCACTCTGCCACCACGCCTGGAGTGGAGTAATCATGCGGGGGTAGGCTATATGGAGTGTACTGCTTTCCCCCAGGCCTGACACAACTCGGGGGCACCAAGGGAATGAGAGATGTGAAATACCAGACTGAACTCTAGACATCAACACACACTTCCTCAGCCATCACCGAAAATTTCCTAAACCGGTCTCTCACCCTCTTCTCTTGCATCTTCACGACAAACCGGGCGTACGCAGCCAGGTATTTCCCTCCTCTGATTGACCGGGCAGTGGCCTAGGGATCGACCTGGAAGCAGCCAAACTGACTCCCGTATCCAAACAATCCCCTCTCACCATAACCCTCACCCCGTTCATCCACCCTCCTCCACATCTTCAACAGTTTCTTGCGCTTCTTGCCTGATGCTGATGGGAACCCCATATCCTTCAATACCTCTCCGGCAACGTTGTTGTCCCCTAGTTTATTCACCGAGCTCGTGCATGTGAACTCCGCCAACGCCATGTCGGGGTATGTATTCAAAACGCCGCACAAGGCATCAAAAAAGACCCCACAACATCCGCGCCGGATGTTTGGGTTGATGCGCCTGCGCGTTCACCAGTGCCGGCCTGTTCAAGCTGCTTTTGCGGCTGACGATGAAATCGACGATTGCCCGGTTGATGAAGATGTTTTTGTGCGTTACTTTCCTTCAAGCATGGCATCAAGTCAGGAACATGGCGGCTTTCTGTGCCGCCCCCACACGTAGGCGCCGTGTCTTGCCACTCCAAACATCACTGAAGCCTGGGAGTCTGCGGGCATCCCCAACCCGCCCATGGAAACGGTCAATTTCTCGAGACCGTCCATGTGCCGGAAAAAGAACTCGCCCATCCGACGGACAGAGTGGACGTACCCGCCGGTGCGAGTGATTATCTTGCGTGCGCGGCCGCCGTCGAGGGTGGAGGTCATGAGGTGGACCTCAAAAGACTCGAGCATAGAGCGGTAGTTCTTCCGCTCTTGCGACTGGAACGTCGGAACCGGGCGGGGGTGCCAGTTCTCGAGGATCAACTTTCGAGGCGCAATGCCGCCACCCATCGATACCTCGTCAAAGGTGTTGCGCCAGAGCCGGCGCATGGTGATATTCAACTCCCGCCTCAACACGTCGTCCCAGCTCTTCTCAAGGTTCTTAAATATGCCGTCTGCGCTCAGGGGATGAAGTCCGCCTGCTGCGAGTAGTCATGCGGGAAGTTGATGCTGAACGTCTCCAAATTCGGGAACAGCCTGTCTGGGTCCTTGGCGCGAGCAGCTTAGAAAAGGGCAATGGCGCTTGGAGGGAGTTGGTCACGTGGAGGACGGGTGCTATAATCCTCCCATATAGAACCGCGGGAAGCCCAATCTTCCCATAGCTCGTCCAGCCACTCTTCGTCTTCCTGCTCTTCTCTCCGTGCTTCATCGCTGTCATACACCGAGTCCTTGTCTGGGTCCGGGGCATCTTCATCAGGTTTGCCGTCAGTGCGTGGGGACGTACATGATGCTGCTGTCTCGGTGCAGAATGGGCCGCTTCCAGAGGTCTGTATCCATGATGTCGTCCGTTTTGTAAGCGTAGCCGACAAAGCGGAGGGTTTTGACATACTTCCCATGGCTTTGGGCTGCGAGCAGGGCGGAATTGGATATGACCTGGGCGTTGGAGAAGGTGAGTGTGTGATAGAGGAAGAGGAGGAGACACTGGCGGACAGAATGACTTGTCTCTGCACGAGAAATGCGGTCTTTCCCCGAGAGACGGTCGAGAATCGAGCCGAAAGTTTCGAAAGGCAAGGTCGCGAGGGGGTGCGTCACGGTCATGTTGGTGGTGCTGAAGAGGAAGTAAAGATTGAGCTTGACGAATGGAATTGGCACAGCTGTCCGGCTTTATAGACATTGTGGACATGAACACATCAGTCCTTGCTGTAATAGTTGATGCCGATGATTTGCCAAATGGTGAAGGTTACCTGATTAGAAGTGGGGCAAGTCCCTCGCTGCCTGGCCGCTCGCATGTACATCATACCATGATGCAGAGGGAATAGGTGAGAAATAAGGCCTACTGAAATCGGGGTCACAGGCTAACTCTATTCATGATGCTAGGGATATCTATAGAAACTTGCGTAATCTGAAACATAAAGTAGCCCAGTCGTCATTTAATCCACTTAGCTCTTCTCCTTGTCCTCCTTGAGCGACACAATCCGGTTCAGAACAATCTTGTCATCTGTGCTATCCGAGTCCATGGCCTAGAATTCAGGTTAGCATCAGGCATATCCACCAAAACGAGGAGACTTACAAAGTAGCCAACACGCATGCCCTGGAACCGAACAGACTCGGGACCGCCCTTGCCGAGCTTGTCCTCGCCGGCAGCCTCGGGCCAAGGAGCGCGTTTCCTGACCTCATCAAAGCCAGACTCAACCAGAGCGTTCGGGTAAATGATCTCACTATCGGGATTAAGATCGGACAAGAAGCCACCTTCGGCACCGGTTGGGTTATTGGACTTGAAAAGGGAGTTGTAGATGCGGGCCTCGCATCTCTTGGACCCAGCGCTCTCAGCAGGCACCCACTGGATGAAGGTCTTGGGCTTCTTGCCAGAACGGTCAAAGACAGCCTTGATCTCGGTCACAAGGCCGGTGGTCTCATCCTTGGTGAAGCTTGTGGCGGTAATGGGGAAGGGTGCCTGGAGCAAGCCCACCGTCTTGCCTGGGGCCAAGCGGAAGTAGTCCTTGCTGTCGACCTCACGGAAATCGGAGCGGTCGATGTACACAGTCTGCGAGAATTTGATCTTGTGGTCTCCCATGGCCGGGTTCTTGGGTGAGAAGGGGACGGTGAGGTCAGTGCCCTCAAACTCGCTTGACTCCAGGACCACAGGAACTGGGTCCAACACCAGCATCAAGCGCGGGACTGTTCGTTCAAGGTAGCGCCGAATGGTCTGCTCAAAGCGGGACATCTGGATGATGCTGTTCGTCGTGGTTACGCCGAGCTCGTTGACGAATTCCAGGATGGCACCCGGTGGGACGCTATCAACACATTAGCATATCCGACTCAAACTCAAGAGGCGTCAGAAGGACATGACAATCGAAATTCTCACTCACCCCTTTCGGCGTATAGCGATGAGCGTGTGTAATCGGGGATCGTTCCAGCCTCTGACGATCCCCTTATCGACAAGCTCCTTCAGCTTGCGCTTGCTGAGTACGGAACCCTCGATGCTCAGTCGGCCATATTCGCGCTGCATAGGCTGATATTCAACCAGCCTCTGATTCAGCCACTCGTACGACGTCCTGCTGAGGAAAAACTCGACTGTACAAAGCGAGTGGGTGATCTTCTCGAAGCTATCACACAAACAGTGGGTAAAATCGTACGTGGGGTAGATGACCCACTTATCACCGGTCCTGTGGTGAGGTTTGTTCAGTACTCGGTACGCCGCCAGATCCCAATTCTGGGGGTTGGGGTCATTGATGTCCTGCTTCATGCGCAGGAAAGCCTCCCTGGGCTTGTACTCGCCGTCCCGCATGGCCCTGAACTTTTTGAGGTTTTCCTCGACAGACTGGTTGGCGTGCTCGCATCGGTAACGAGGGCTGGCTCCCTTCTCCCCACCGCGCTGCTTCTTCACCTCCTGGTCGTCGCAGTGGCACACGTATGCGTTTCCCTGCTCGATCAGCTTCTCGGCGAGCGCGTATAGGGTATCGAAGTGGTCGCTTGAATAGGTGATCTTGTACGGTTCAAAGCCGAGCCAACGGACTGTTTCTTCGATCGAGGTGAAGTACTCCTCCTCCTCGCTCTCAGGATTTGTATCGTCCATACGTAAGTAGGTATATCCTCCATGATATCTGGCAAAGCCAAAGTTGACGGCGATTGCCTTGGCATGACCGATATGTAGGTGACCGTTTGGCTCGGGGGGGAATCTGGTAATAACTGGCTTCACGGGACGCTCCTTGTAAACATCGTTCAAGAAGCCCTGTTTGAACATGGAATCCGTGTCGATTGGGACATCTTCGACCTTTTCCTTCTTCGGCTGCTGAGTCTTTGGCGGCGCGGCAGCATTGCTTGCCTCCTTGTTCTTGTCCTTCGACGCCTTTTTTGCGCGTTTTGCCAGTCTCTTCTTCAGTTCTCCCTTGGAAACCCACTCACCGGTTTCCTCGTCAAGCTGAAGCTTTGGGGCGTTGTCGACCGTAGGGGCAGTATCGGGCGCGGTAGGCGCGTCGGTGATGTCGAGCTTGGCCGTCGAATCGGCGATGGAGTCAGCCATGGTAGCGGTGGATTGATTCGATTGAAAGAAAAACGAAGGCGCGCAGTCGACGGGACGGAGCCAGACGTTTAAGACTGACTGGAAGTGGAGGCGATGTGACAGCGTTATCGCCGGGTGAGTCAGTAAAATGTTTGGAGTTGCACAACTGCCACTGCCACAAGGGGGTGTTTGGAGGGGTCCATCCGACACTGAGTGGAACCCCACCTTGTTCCGCCTCTGGCTGTGTCTCGGCGCGATAAGATAAACTGAGGTACCACGGAATTCCCAGGTTCCAGACCTCAGTGACTCCCTCTCTGCTGGAGACCGGCCAGATGTCGATCTTCTCTCGGGCCGTCCGATGGTGTTCTAGTGCCCTGCACCTGTGCGGGCTGTCAACGTCACTGGACGTTAGCTAGGGAGCAGAGAGACAGCCATTATTGGCCTGGTTATGGGGGATCGCTGACTACTTGAGACGAACGATCAGCCATATACTACTCCCGTCGTAGAATATTAGATCAGACAGTTTGGAGCTCAAGAATTTCATGACTTTTTATTGTCGCCTGGTCCCGTCCGTTGCATGCCCGCTTGCTAAAATTACCCCGCGATTCTAGAACGGCCACCACCCCGCATCTGTTGATAGGTAGGCTTGCTCAAGCTTTCCCATCGCACTGCTCACCTGCTTGGCCACGGGCACGCAACCTACCTTACCTGTCCTAGTCCATACTTTCATCTTGCCCAGCACCTCAGTTTGCTGAGTCTTTTCCCCAACATCAACAACATCCATGCCCTCTCGGCATATCGCCAAGATGACCGTCCTCGAGGCTGCCAACATCCCCTCCGTCTCCCTTCTCTACAAGCTCCACAAGCTGTCAGCCGCACCCGCTGACACCAAGCTTGTGAAGACTCTCTTGGGACCGACCGAGATCCCTCCCCCTTCTAAATCTCTCAACGACCGTGTTGCCGTGTACCGTGCCGACATCACTTCTCTCGCCGTCGATGCCATCGTCAATGCCGCCAACCGCTCCCTTCTCGGGGGCGGCGGCGTAGATGGTGCCATTCATCGGGCAGCTGGCCGCGGCCTGTACGAAGAGTGCAAGAAGTTGAATGGGTGCAAGACTGGCTCAGCCAAGATCACAGACGCCTATGACCTGCCATGCAACAGGGTCATTCACGCTGTCGGCCCCGTCTACGACCCGGCGGATCATGACACGAGCGAGAAGCTGCTGGTCGGCTGCTACACAACAAGCTTGGAGCTCGCCGTTGAACACGAGTGCCGCACAATCGCCTTCAGTGCACTCAGCACCGGTATATATGGCTACCCAAGTCGGGAGGCCGCGCCTGCAGCGTTGAGTGCCATTCGCAAATTCTTGACCGGGAAGGACGGGGACAAGATTGACAAGGTGATACTTGTTACGTTTGAGAAGAAGGATGTGGATGCTTACACCGAGTTCGTCCCGTAAGTTTCTCCACATGCTGGCCAAGCACTACCTCCAATGTGCTGACGAACATACACAGACATTACTTTCCTCCTGTTTCCGACGGCTCAACATCCGATGCCGTCGCACAAGAGCTTCCCAGCGTCCCAACATCGGACCCTGTGGATCCCGAAGAGGCCGACAAGAGATAGGCATGGCTAAGGAGGAGAATAAGGCAAAAACAGGTGGTAGATTTCACGGAGTTCCGGAAAAAAAAGTGACTCCCAGACATGTTTGGGAGGAGGGCGTAATTGGTAGCTCAGTGCTTGGAACTGGTGGGTGGGTGGCTTAGAGGCACAACACAAGACGGTCCTCGGGTATTATCTTGCGTGGCGTTAGTATTATAGGTCCGTTCTTGACAGCTTGGTGCTTGCAATACCAAGACTGCAACTCGCTATGGTCAACGTGAACCCAAGGGTGAACTCTACCTTTCTTGCTTCCCATGTGCACGTGTAAAGACAGGGTTATGCTTTGGCGCCAAGACCCTAAATGGATTAAGTTGATGCTTGTGGAGACCATAGACAACAACGGAGCAACCTGGGACGATTCAACTTGTTCCTTTGGCTTCATCCAGTCCCCCATCCAGTCTGCCTTGCACCATTGAAACATCTCCTCTCAGAAAGCTGTCTATTTGTGGGCTTCCATTCGATGTGGTACCAAGGTCCATGTACCTACTCCCACAGTTAGTTGTCTTCTGTCCACTGCCAGCTTGACCATGCATCAACCCTGAGCCTCAGCAGGCGCGCTGCCTTTTTCTGCAACGCATGAGCATCTTTACGCAGAGCATGGGTGTTTTTCGTCAGGTCCTCGTTATAACAGCCATCATGTGTTTCTGTCCTTGGCCGCCGGTTCTGTCCCCGTTAACTACTCTTGAAGCCTCGACATCCCAATGGTTCGCCCAACCCCAGGACAATGACCAGACATGATGCGACTATGGCACACAATACTAGCAGTTATCACTCTCCTGGTAGTCTCTAGGTGCCAGGGCTGTGAGACTGACTACTACCCTTCAGTTTCCACTGCTGAACCATGCGCCATTGTAAGCAGTTCCTGGTCTTCCCAACAGGTCTTCAGCCCATCTGGTATGTTTTTCCCACTGAGGCAGGTCAGAATCGATGACTAACTCGCCTGGACAAAAGCAACTCCGACTGTAGCAGCTGAGCTGGCTTACGAGTGTCTTAACTCTATCCCGCTGCACAAACAAGAAGCTCTTGAGCTTGTCGATGCCATTGAGCCTTACTTGGAATGGCAGAGTGACTCGGCCTACAAAGCCGACCCGCCCGAGGGCTACTTTTTCCCGCCTTTCGATATGTTTTCTGCATTGGCGCAGGTCCGCCAGAACTTGGAGGAAGACATGTACGGCAACGAGTATGATTTTCAGGAGGATCTATACGTCTCGGTGTTTTGTCCCGGGCATGATGGCCATTATGTCTTTTACCCAGATGCCTTAACCCGCGTCTTTGAATGGAGGCGACAACGCGCTCTTGTTTCCGTCAGTGAGGATGGGGTCTCGCTGCCAGTCATTAAGATTTATGGTATTTATCTCAGGAGGGCGAGTTCATTGACAGCCTTGCTGACTACCTACTGACCAGAGGATATTACCGAATCTCCAGAGACTGCGTCGGTAGTCAGCCTCATCAACGGCGTTGATGCAGCTACCTACGTGGCGGAAACAATATACAAGGCAACTTACAACCGAGATCCAGACGCCGCCTATAATAGCATGTTTTACGAAAAGGCGTCTGTTGCGGTGGGGAGTCCGTTGGGCTTTTTTGCAAAGGGTGGCCGAGTGAGATACGTTTACCCAGGGCCAAACACGACGTTCACGTTCGAGAATGGTACCACTCTCTCGTTGGAGAATGTTGCTGCTGTCAAAGCTGACATGACCGGCGTGGTTGACGGCCCTTCTTATTACGCTAAATTCTGCAATCCAGACGGTGGCAATACAACTACTATCAGAGAAAGCCCGGTTGATGAGGCTGGAGATGGGGAAATTGCTGTTATTGGCTACCCAAAGCCTGTGATCATCACTCAGGATGGCGTCGTCTCTGGTTATTTTCTTGAGGGTGATGGCTTCGAAGACGTGGCAGTCATCGCTGTTCTTTCTTTCGAGCCTCGATCCCCTACCGAATTTCAGGCAGTTTGCCAACGGTTCTTTTCACTAGCAGCACAAGAAGGCAAGACTAAACTCGTTATCGACTTTCAAGGTAATGGCGGCGGTTATATCCTCCAGGGCTACGACTTTTTCAGGCAGCTATTCCCTTCCATCGTCCAGGAAGGACTGAGCCGGTTCAAAGAAGACCCCAGCTTTCTCTCTCTTGCCAGCATCGTCAGTGATCTCGTGGCCGGTGTCAACCCTTACACAGAGCCGAGCGCAAATCTCGTTCGAAACTACCAAAACTGGTTCAACTATCGCTACGACCTCGATCTCCACGACCAACTCTTCCCGTCGTTTGACGCCAAGTTTTACCCGCACATCTACAAATCTACCCCCTACACCTCACTGCTGCGCTGGAACCTCTATGACAGCCTCACGACCATCAACACGACCTTTGGATTAGGCATCGAGGTGACCGGCTATGGTGCCCGAACCAACCTGGCGCAGCCCTTTTTCGCCGAGAACATTGTTCTTTTATACGACGGCACTTGCGCCTCTACCTGCGCGGTGACCTCCGAGTTCTTCAGCCTGCAGGCCAATGTCAAGTCGATCGCAATGGGTGGCCTCCCGGAGCCGGGTTTAATCCAAGGAGTGGGCGGCGTCAGGGGCGCGCAAGTGCTGCAGTACAAAAATATCTACGACTATGCCAGCTCCTACCTACCCTGGGCCGGGAATCCGTTCCAGGCTGCTGCGCTCTCGCGATACTCCTCGTTACCGGTGAACAGGAGCACGTCGGCTGCGGTCAATGCGAGGGATGAGATTTTCCCGCAGAACATCTACGACGGGTTGCCGGCGCAGTATGTGGTGCAGGAGTCGGATTGCCGGCTGTACTGGACGGAGCCGATGATCAGGGATGTGTCCGAGGTGTGGAAGGCTGCTGCTGATTCGGCATTCAACGGGGCGGGGTGTGCTGCCGGGGGGATAGAACGAACAGAGCCTGGCAAGTGTCCACCGACGCCAGGCACGCCGTCGCCGCTGCCTGTGTACGGTCCGTGGCTGCCAGACCAGTACAGGAAGGTGAATGCGCCGGTGGATGATGTGGGGTGGATGGCCGTCCATGGGATGAAGGCGATTCTTTAAGTGCTCTGTTTTTCCAACAAACCGGGCTGTCATCGACATTTTCTTGCGCATACTTTTGGTTTGTTCAATATACTCTATTCTCTTTGGTCAATATCATTCTATCGTCCGCACGACATATCGCATCAGAACTCTTCCGTAATTTTACTATCGCTCAAACTGCGCACAATGCCTCCAACACGATCAAGAACGTCCTCTCAGGGAGCCAGCCTGGAGTCGTCATCTTTATCTTCTGATTCGAAGGAGGGATCAGGTGTCCTCCTTGCCGAGGAGCAGCAGCCTAATCCTACCGGCGATGGTACAAGTCAGCAGGCTGATGCGCAAGAGAATACCGTCGTGCCTGAGCAGCAAGCCGAAGTACAAGGCGAGGCCACAGTGCCCGAGCAGTAACCTGCTGTGCAAGACGAGGTCGTAGCGCCCCAGAAGTAAGCACCTACTTGCCCAGAAATAATTACCAAAGGCTGTCTAACTCATGCTTACAGGGCCCCTTTCACTCATTTCCGCCAACTCTCACAGTCCCAGCAGGATCAAGCCAACGCGGAACATGCTGTCAGTGTGCCCCTTGTTGCCATGTGGGTGTGAGGTAGTGCTGACAGAACTACAGATCGAGGTCATATTATCCTACTTCATTATAGACTGGGACGCGTCCAAGCGCTGGACAAGTCCAAATCGCGTATACAGTTGGCCTGAACCTTTCCATAAGGATGGCAGACATCCCACTGCCGCTTTTACCTACACCTCCAAGGGAGACATCACCGAATTTGCCGTGCTCGACGCTATGGATGTCGAGAGGGACTCACCAGTCAGAAAAATGATACAAAACAGAGACAAGACACACAGCGTCGAGTTGACGTATCACATTCTTGTCAAGGCCTTCACGCGGACAGGGAACAGCTATCTTGACTTTTCGCAGGAGGATAAGGATGTGATCAGAAAGTTTTCAAGGAAGGTGACGAATGAAGGGAAGCAAACGATTTCGGACTGGTTCATTAACGTTGTTTGCGGAGCGCCTTTTCGGGCATTGGAGGTGGAACCTGATCCTTGGTCCGATGACAGCTTCGTGTCTTGGTTCGAAGGATGAAGGGGAGTATTACAACGTGTTGGTGGAAGATGGGACGATGCCACGGTCCCCTGCGTTGGCAGAAATTGGAATTCATGGCACTACATTGGAGGCACCTGAGGAACGAGGTTGCTGAGATTTGTTAAGAGGTGGTGAGGAGGAACACTTGGACTCACCTTGATGACAGCGGGTTGTTGGAATGACTTGATAAGCAGCGAAGATTACCAGGGTAGTGCACATTCAAGCATATGATAACACATATTTGCATTACATTTCCATTATTCTGACATGATGTGACCTTTTGACATATCGTACACAAACTCTTAAGCCCTATTATCGTATCAATTACTCCTGATTTGGCTTGCTAGCGCTGGCAGCGCCCTCCCTCTTCATGCCCTCGCATCCGGTCAGCTTGCCGGCAACTTCCTCCACTTTCCCATATCCCGAGGTGGCCGGGTCACGGTTCTGGGTCGCTTGATTGAGTGAAGCACGGGCGTGGGCCTTGTCTTGCTCGCCCGAGGTTTTCCAGGCGTGGGAACCTGAGATGTCGCCGATTGCGGACTGAGAGGGAGTCGCTGTTAATTATTGGACCGGAAGGCAGAGCTTGAGAGAATGGGAGATTGTCACCTCAGCTGCCCCCTTGATATACTCGGCGTGGGAGGAGATCAGGCCTGGGTTCTCGGTAGGCTGGTTGGTGCTGCTGGTGTTGGGGTTGCTCGAGGAGGAAGACATGGTTGTAGTGTAGGATTTGTGTTGTGCTGGCGGGTGTACTGGCTGTTTACTGTGGTGTGATACCTGTGGAGGATGCTTCAATGTTGTGGTTTTGGATTTGCGATGGTGCTGGAGATGGATCTTGTAAAGAAGAAATAGGGGTTCATGAAGACGGTGGGGTGTACCTTATGCCGCGACATGGTGACGTCGGTCTGGGGTGACGTCATTAATGGGCTGCTGGATTTGAGGCTCGACTTGTGCACCATCAAGAGCCGAGGGTGGTGGCTATTTCTGGCGTCTTGCTAGTTCAGCAAAATGGAGAGAAAACAATGCATGTGTAAAACAAGTTGAAGGAGATTCTTCCGAAATGTCCTCACTGTGGGAAGAGGGAAGCATTGCTATCGTCCACTGAACTAGACACGAGAACCATTGCAATTACAATCGGTATCAATGTTTGTTTGTCAGCAGTTTCAATCTGCTATCTGGGCCTCCATTTGGGGCGAAGATGACCCTCGCGATGCAGAAGAGCCGTTGTAGTGTAAATAAGCCCCTGAGAGAATATCGGTTGCCCGGTTAGATCTGTTTAGTTTGGTAACCACCTTGATGTGCTATTTCACGTGAAGGGCACGTGCGTCTTTCCGTCAATGGTGGCAGACGGCACATGTGGATACCGCTTGACCCTGCGGAAAGAAAGAGATCTTATCGGACACGCAGGGGGACTAGGTTGATATGCCCCGGATTTTGGCGAAGAGGAACAGCGTTTCGGCAGCAGGGGTCTTTTCCTGAGCCTTTTGAAGTTGAGTATGAGATGAGCCAAATGACGCCGCGAAGTGAAGTACCGTGCGGGCGAGTTGAAGCCTGCAGAATTGCGGTGAGACCTGCCGACTTTAGAGTTGCGGATGGTGCTCAGACTGGCGCAACATCGAAGCGGAACGTGGAAGGTGTTTAACCTGGCGTGGGGGGCGTTGACATATCTGACAGACGTTGGACTTCAAGTGCATGAATATCCATCCTTCACAGTGTACCCGAGATAATCAGCCAGTTTTTGTCTGTAGCTTCTGTACGAAACAACACCTGGTTCAAGCTGCAACAGCAAAGTAGCCACGGTCACCCACAACCATCCCTTAACCAACCAGGAGATCCTGGAAAGAGTCGAGGCAACGTCTGGGCATGACTGGTGATCTAATATTTATCCGCTCCTGGTTAAAAATATGAAGCCAAGTTTGGTCGAACCCGTGTCAACGACGGCACCGGAGCCTCTCCTCCATCACTCTTTCTGTGTTACGGTGGCGAAGTACCTTAACAGAAGCGGCATGGCGGGGGCTGAGGACTGCTCCCGGGCGGCGTGAGATGATATTTTGCTGTTGATAGGGCTTATCGTTGATATTGCGGCACCTGTAGAAGAAAAGGGGCCTGATATTGGCCATGAATCGCCAGTGGCCCATATGTTGAGCCAAACGACAGGCTTCCCCGCGATGAGGAGAGACACGCGGGTGAAGCAGGCTGGGATGTGCTGGAAGCATTGCTAGCTCCCATGAAACCATTGGGATGCATCAACGTGGTGCAGGCTCGCATATGCTGGCGCCAGCAGCGTTCTGCAGAAAGGGAGATGGATAGGTGAGAGGAAACTCAAACTTGAGACGTTACTGCCCCGCCCCTCGGTGGACACCCCGAAAAAAGAGAAACCCCTCCAAGAGCCCACTCAGCACCCGCTCAACGCTCATGTTGCCACACAGTACCATGGCTACCGCAGTATTCCAACAAAGGCCATCTGATTTCAAGGCGCGCATTGTCAAACTCACGCAAGGGATCGTAGAAAAGGCAATTCAATAGCCTTTGATCAAAATGGGACGGCAGAGGGAGAGAGGCCCCAACAGCGGGTGAAGGTTTGGGACCTACTTGTTGGGGCTTGGAAGGAAACTTCTTTTTGCATAACGACCGCCTCACCGCCCTGGGAAGTGGGCCATTCTGGGATTAGCGCTCTCGCTGATAAAGCGATAAGCAGGGATCAGCGAGGACAAGCAGGGATGTGTCTGAGTCGGCAGCGGCTGGATGCACACCAATCATTGGGGGGGCAATTCTTGTGGACGACTGACGGGCAGGTGGCCGAGAGAGAGAAAGTGGTTGGCCCAGCAGCCCCCAGATGCTCCAGAGCCCCCTCCCCCAACAAGGGCAAAGGCGAAAAAAAAAGTTTTCGGTGATGCCTACCCCTCCATCCCAATTCTGTGCCTCCCTGTGGGTCCGGCGGCGGCGTGTGTGTGTCGCAAAGCGCTGTGTGGTGTCCAGTGTGCCAGTGCAAAAGTGAATCAATCTGTCCTGGGCCGAAGCAAAGCCTGGCTTGCACTCTTTAAATATTTCCCCCACCGCCCTCCCACACCCACAAGTTTTTCTTTCTGCCACCTCCAGGTCTCTCCTCAGCTTTCTTTCTTTTTCGTTTGGACTGCCAGCTCTCCACTCAGTCTTTACATATTCTTGCGACTTCTCTCTAGAAGAGCCAGAATAGAGTAGACGTCTTCGACCCTCCATCGAGATATCTACGGGCTCGCCTATCGTCGCCGTCGGTCACTTGCCTTTTCGCAGGATACCCCCGAATAGACTACCTCCCCCTCCCAGCAACATTGTTTAGACGGCGGGATTAGATTCCTTAGACGTCTTCTCTAGTCTCCACGACATTTTTTCGACGTTTCGATCAAATCACACAAAACCCGATAAAATGGCTCCCTCCGAGAACGCCGCCAGCATCAAGGTGCTCGATGAGCTCATGCAGAAGCTCACCATCTCCAAGGAGGCTGATCAGATCAAGGAGGCTTCGGCCGCCCTTGCTTCCTTCATCAACGGTCGCATCGAGGACCTTGATACCCCCACCAAGTAAGTTTTTTTGTGTTGGGCCCCGCTCCCCTGTTCGCGATAACCCCTCGCCAAGCCCAAACCCAAGCCTAGTCCAGCCCCTCCTTGACAGCAGCAGCAGCGCGGCATATCGGGCATATCGTGGCCTCTTGTTTCTTTGTGTGCGTGCGAGCGACACAAAGAGACACATTGGCCGGGCTCGCTGCCTGTCGCAGACCGCCTCGACAGGAGGTTGTCGTGCCGTGCTGCGCTGTCAAACCAGGGTGCGGCTTTTAGCTGCAGGGACCAGTTTGGTGGGAAAAAATTTTCAGATGGCATTTCGAGCGTCGCACCAGAATTTGGAGAATTGGAGGCTGACATGTGAACCCCTCATTTTCGCAGGACCGTCGAGGCTCTCAAGAAGCAGCTCGCCAACAAGAAGGATGCCACCGTCCGCGAGAAGGCCCTCCTTGCCATCCAGGCTATTGCCCAGCACTCCGAGGTCTCTTCTGCCGTTGAGCCCTACCTCGTTGCTCTTCTCCCCAGCGTCCTGGCTGGCGCTGGTGACAAGATCACCGCTGTGAAGAATGCCGCTTTCGCTGCTGCTCTGGCCATCGCCGAGGCCATTAACCCTAACGCTGTCAAGGCCGTTCTCCCCGCCTTGATCGACTCCCTCCGCAATGCCCAGAAGTGGCCCGAGAAGATGCTTGTCCTCGACTTCATCGATGTCCTCATCAAGACTGCCCCCGCCCAGACTGGTCTCCGTGTCCCCGACTTGATCCCCGTCATTTCCGAGGCCATGTGGGACACCAAGAAGGAGGTCAAGGACCGTGCCTACAAGACCATGGAGCAGCTCTGCCAGCTTATTGTCAACCGCGATATCGAGCGCTTCATTCCCGAGCTCATCAAGTGTATCGCCAAGCCCGAGAACGTCCCCGAGACTGTTCACTTGCTCGGTGCCACCACCTTCGTCACTGAGGTCCAGGAGCCCACTCTTGCCCTCATGGTTCCCCTTCTTGATCGTGGTCTTGCCGAGCGCGACACCGCCATCAAGCGCAAGTCGGCCGTCATTGTCGACAACATGTGCAAGCTCGTCGACGACCCCAACATTGTCGCTCCTTTCTTGCCCAAGATGATGCCCGGTCTCCAGAAGAACTACGAGAACTTGGCTGATCCCGAGGCTCGTGAGAAGACCAAGCAGGCTCTTGACACCATCATCCGCGTCGGTAACGTCGTTGACGGCAAGATCCCCGAGGTCCGCAACCACGGTGATATCAAGACCATCCTTAGCCACTTCAAGGAGGTCCTCCCCGCCAAGCACGCTTCTGCTCTTGAGAAGTTCGCCCCCGTCCTCGAGTACGCCGCCGCTGTTGCTGGCCAGCTCGTCGACGAGAAGGAGACCGAGTCCGCCGTCTGGGCTGAGGCTGTCAAGCCCTACGTCGCTGTTGTCGTTGGTGATGACGAGGCTCAGTCCATCACTGACGCTCTCCGTAAGCGCGCCAACCCCGACCTCGCCGAGGGCGATGACGGTGAGGAGGACGACGAGGAGGGTGAGGATCTGTGCAACTGCACCTTCTCGCTCGCCTACGGTGCCAAGATCCTTCTCAACCAGACCCATCTCCGCCTCAAGCGCGGCCAGCGCTACGGTCTGTGCGGTCCCAACGGTTCCGGAAAGTCCACCCTCATGCGCGCCATCAACAACGAACAGGTCGAGGGCTTCCCCAAGCAGTCCGAGGTCAAGACCGTGTTCGTCGAGCACGACTTGGACTCTGCCGATACCGAGATGACCACCATCGACTGGACCATGAAGAAGCTTGCCGAGGCCGGCGTCGACGTCAGCCAGGCTGAGGTCGAGAAGCGTCTCGGCGAGTTCGGCTTCTCCGAGGACATGATCAAGAACGAGATCACTGCCCTCTCCGGTGGTTGGAAGATGAAGCTGGCCTTGTGCCGTGCCGTCTTCGAGGCTCCCGATATTCTCCTGCTCGACGAGCCCACTAACCATCTCGATGTGAAGAACGTGAAGTGGCTCGAGGACTACCTCATCAACTCCCCTTGCACCTCCATCATCGTCTCTCACGACAGTGGTTTCCTCGACAACGTGTGCCAGCACATCGTCCACTACGAGCGCTTCAAGCTTAAGCGCTACAGAGGCAACCTCGCTGAGTTTGTCAAGAAGCACCCCGCTGCCAAGTCCTACTACGAGCTCGGTGCCTCCGACATGGAGTTCTCCTTCCCCGAGCCCGGTTTCCTCGAGGGCGTCAAGACCAAGGCCAAGGCCATTCTCCGTGCCACCAAGATGTCCTTCCAGTACCCTGGCACCGCCAAGCCCCAGATTTCCGACATCTCCTTCCAGTGCTCGCTCGGTTCCCGTATTGCCGTCATTGGTCCCAACGGTGCCGGCAAGTCCACCCTCATCAACGTGCTCACTGGTGAGCTCATCCCCACCGCCGGTGAGATCTACCAGCACGAGAACATCCGTATCGCCTACATCAAGCAGCACGCTTTCGCCCACATCGATAACCATCTCGACAGCACTCCCTCCGAGTACATCCAGTGGCGTTTCCAGACTGGTGAGGATCGTGAGACCATGGATCGTGCCAACAAGATCATCACCGAGGCTGATGAGGAGGCCATGAACAAGGTCTTCAAGGTCGAGGGCACCATGCGCCGTGTCATTGGCATCAACTCCCGCAGAAAGTTCAAGAACTCGTACGAGTACGAGTGCTCTTTCGCTCTCGGCGAGAACATTGGCATGAAGAACGAGCGCTGGGTTCCCATGATGACTGCCGACAACGCTTGGTTGCCCCGCTCCGAGCTCCTCGCCTCCCATCAGAAGATGGTTGCCGATGTCGATATGAAGGAGGCCCTTGCCTCCGGTCAGTTCCGTCCCCTCGTGCGCAAGGAGATCGAGGCTCACTGCGCCAACTTCGGTCTCGATGCCGAGCTTGTCTCTCACTCCCGCATGCGCGGTCTCTCCGGTGGTCAGCGTGTCAAGGTCGTCCTTGCCGCCTGCTCGTGGCAGCGTCCCCATCTCATCGTTCTTGATGAGCCTACCAACTACCTCGATCGTGACTCTCTCGGTGCCTTGTCCAAGGCCCTCAAGAAGTTCGAGGGTGGTGTCATCATCATTACCCACTCTGCCGAGTTCACCAAGGATATCACTGAGGAGGTGTGGGCTGTCATGGACGGCAAGATGACTCCTTCCGGCCACAACTGGGTGCAGGGCCAGGGCTCTGGTCCCCGCCTCAAGGGGGATGACGGCGAGGAGGAGGAGAAGTTCGATGCCATGGGCAACAAGATTGTTAGCACCAAGAAGAAGGCCAAGCTTACCAGCTCCGAGGCCCGCAAGAAGAAGAAGGAGCGCATGGCTCGCCGCAAGCGTGGTGAGGAGGTATGTCTCTTCCCCTTTCCATCTACTGCTCTACCAAGACAGCAGTTTGCTAACTCTTTCGACAGGTCTTCAGCGACGAGGACGAGTAAACGTCACGCGCTCGACATCTTTTCAGCATGAGTTAAGCGTTACGAACAGGTTCACAAAAGTTGCTTTTTCACATTCTGGGTTCGGGTTGCATGGGTGGTCTGGCCTCACTGGGTTTCTGTCTTTTATGTCCTGTCATGATCATAATTTCTCTTTTAGCCCGTTACTGTATCTATGCCTGGCAGCATTGGGGGGCATGATCTTCCAAGGACTGGAGACCCTTGGATGCATGGTTGTGTTTTCTAGATGCCGGACAGGAGGGAGAGATACCAAAACGAAGGGGTGGAGAGTTTGTCTCACGAATAGAGAGCAATATAGATCTTTAGATACGCCTGTGTGTCCATGTTGTGTGTTTATTGTGCTTGTCAGTTGGGGTGTTGACTTGATGTGTCTTGACTTGGTTGGGCGAGGGTTGAATGGTTGTCTGCAAAGGGTAACTGATTTGCACTTTATACAGTCGACAATCGGGGGCTGAATAACGTGCTTTTGGCGTTTTGAGGCACAGCCGGGAAGCCTTGGTACAACCCCACGATCACGACATCTCAGATCTTGTTCCTGAAAATCTGGAGGCGTTGTTTGAGCATGGATATGGACCCCGTCCAGCAGAAAAGCTTGATTAGGATCGGTCCGGCAGCTGAGCGATCGGCGCGCACGTTCTAGGCCGGCATTTCCCCTTTTGCTCCTGATGATGCTTTTTTGGGCCTCCTTTCCGTATGAGCTGTCTGCAGACTGCAGAGACTATCGATAGTGCGTCAACTGTTCGGTCTGCTTACCGGCCACTGCCGGCCCATCCATGTCGACGATCAGCTTGGTCATCCCCTGACAATCTTTCTGTCCTTCTGAGACATGCAGCCATCTAGAGAGCACGTTCTCAGCCAGACTTAGCCGGCAGACGACGATCCGACCAAGATGTGGTTCGTGCACTTGTTGACACGGATGATCTTGCACCTTTTTCTTCTCAAGAGGCTGTCATTGAACCCAACTTGGTCCAACAACTTGGGTTGGCATCGTGGGGGTGAAGAGCTTCAATGGCCGTGTTGGTTGGTATCATCACTCAGAAGTGTGAATGGCATCATCTTTTTCATCGAGCACGACAGGAAAGGCGGCGGGTGGTGATGGCTAACAGAACCCATCAAGGAGGAAGCGATGGGCAGGATGGCGATGTGTATAAGTAGAAGAACAATCAACTTAAACTTCTCAACAATCTCATCAGATCACCATCGTCACTCCTCTCTTCAGTATTCTTACCATCTTCGAAACAGCATCAGCACCACAATGCAAGGTCTCCTCGGCTTCGCCCTCTTGGGAAGCTTCGTCTCCTACCTTCAAGGAGCGGCTGCCAGTCCAGCAACTGCCGGTGGCACGGAGAAGAGGAACCCTCTCGGTCTCAGTCTACCCCCTTTGATTCCCTCCATCCCGGGAGTCACTGAGCCCCTGGCTTCCAATGCACCCCCTCTGCCTATCCTGCAGGTTCCTACGCCCCCCTTGGCCAGTCCTCCGTTTACTGCCTCCAACATCAAGCCCAAGAAGATTGGTTACTTCTGGACTGGTGCTGGTGACAACTTGCACAAGGACTTCCTGGCGACAGTCAGCTTGGATGATGTATGCTCTCCCCTATTAGTGGTAAAGTCTGGTTGCTGACCGCTAACAAGGACACCTTTGGCACATTCATCCAACTCACCGATGTTCCCACCAGCGGTAATTCTCCTCATCATCTTGGAGCGTCTTATGACGGCAAGACCTTGATTGGCGGCGGTCTCTTGTCTTTGCTCAAGACTCAGGATACTGCCTTTTACTTTGACGTCTCGGACCCGTACCGCCCCAAGTTTGACCACAGCAACCGTGCCATCTTGTCGTCTATTGTCGATGAGATTCGAGCCAAGCCTGATGGGTATGTTCTTTCTTCATCGTCCGACTGTCTTCTCTTGCCTACTAATCTTGTTGTGTGCGCCACAGAGGCTTCTACATCACCTACATGGGCTCTGCAGTGGGCACCTCCCCCGGCCGCCTCGTCGAGACCGACGCCCGCGGCAACATCATCCACGAGTGGCCTGAAGTCACCGACATCCCCTCCACCCTCAACATCCTCGGCCAGCAGTTCTCCCCCCACGGCCTCACCGTCGACTACGACAAGCAAATCGCCCTCACCTCCGACTTTGTCGTCCCCATCACCATCCTCAAGCCCACCCTCGGTATACAAAAGGCCGACACCCTCCGCCTCTTTGACCTTCGCACCCACAAGATCCTGTCGACAATCACCATCCCAGGCGGTCAGGGCATCCAGGACGTCAAATTCATCCCCAATCACCCCGAGACGGCCGCGCTCGCCACCGCCGTCGGCCTCGGCCAAGTCTGGGTCATCTACCCCTTCCGCACCAAAAACGGCAAGCAAGGCACCGCCGAGCTCCTCTTCGACTTTGGCCCCAAGGCCAAAAACTCATTGGCCATCTACTCGGACATCTCCGACGACGGCAAACTAGCCTACTTCACCTTCACCCTCGGCAACCACGTTGCGGCGCTCGATATCTCTGATCTGAGCAACCCTGTGAGGCTGGACGACCCGAACGAGACCCAGCCCATCATCGGCCCTCACTACGTCAAGATCAGCCCGGATAAGAAGAACTTGTTGGTCCTTGGGTATTTTGTCCAGGCGGGGGACATCTCGGTTGTCAACACGCCTGGTGATTACAAGGCTCACTGGTTGGATCTGGACGCGAACGGCAAGTTTAGCTGGAACAAGACGATTGATTTCGAGAGGGAGTTTGCGACCACGAGGGGGGGTGCGAGGCCGCATAGTGTGGTTATTTATGACTTGAGCGATCCGACTGATCCAAAGTATTATTGAGTGGCGGAGAGGGGGGATAGGGGTGAGGAAGGGGGGTGGTCGTTCCAGCGCGTAGCATCGGTGGCTTAATTCACGGTGC